AAGAAAACTCAATGGTAAAATGAAAAAAAAATGATAAATTTTTATAAACCATTAATATATAACAAAATTACTTGTTAAATAGTTTTTGTCTTTGAATTAATTTATTTTTGGAAATAATTATATTTTTTGATTGTATATTTATAATAAAAATATACTTCGTTATATAGTTTCGATAATGAATAAAAAATGCCGCGGACACGAAAATAATAGAAAGGACACCATATACACAGGAGGACGTCCTTTATAGCGGGAGGACGTCCCTAAACCACAAAGGACGTCTTTCGGCCTATATTCCCGTCCTTCGTCCCCATGTCCGTCCTTTCTCTTAATTAAATAATTAAATAATTAAACTTTCTTATAATTCCATCTCTTATTTTCTCTGTTATAGATCCATCATGTAAAAGAAAATAAAAAGACAGTCAAAATGAACTTAATAGTTAATGTTCGTGTTCATCTCAGCAAGGCCTTGTGAGATTTCTTCTGCTGTTGTGTTCATCCAGTCTATTGTTCTTCGGTGTGCATTTAAGAGTTGCAGAATTTGGACGCATTCCTTCTTTTGTCCGTTTGGCACTTCCCCATAGTTATGATCTGAGATCAATTTTTGGATCTCTCCAAATTTCCCCGTCATCGATTCTATTGTGTCGCTGACATTTTGTACCACATTCTTCGAAGTCCCTTCCTTTGTTGGATGTGCTGCTACCATGTCATTGACTATCTTCTCGATATTGTTTTGTTCTTTCTCTATCTGTCCAACAACATTCTTCATTTGTTCTTTCATCGTTTGCACATCCCGCACAAACTCTCTCAATTCGTCTAACTCACTTTCCGCCTTCATTATCGCTTCATTTTGCCCTCGAATCTTCCCTGAGATCTCAGAAAATGTCTTCATATCCGCACTCATCTCATTCTTCCACTCCTCAACTGCGTCTTCAAGTGGCGTCATTTTCGCACGCACAAACGCAAGATCCGCCTCTCCCTGAATAACTGCATCTACTGATACACCAGCTTGCCCGCCTACTGATCCTCCAATCCCACCAAGTGTCGTCCCCGACATCCCATTATTCAGTGAACCCAACGTGCTCCCCGACAACGATGGAAATTGCAGTCCTAGACTTCCCGTACTTCCGGTGGTCCCCGCTGCCCCAAGTCCCTTATCATCTCCCGTACTTCCAATCCCCGTTGTAGCGGTGTTTCCAAACAAATTCGTGTTGAATGAAAGGTTATTCAAATCTCCAGCTGGTTTCGTGTCAGTAGCTGGCGTTGTAGTTGTACTTGCCGGCGCTGCAGCAGTATTTGTATCAAGATTTAATGTGAATAAAGGGGTGGTAGTAGTTGCTGCTGGGGTACTAGTGGTAGTCGCTGGTTTATCCGCCGTGATTCCACCAAGTATTGAAGTTGTTCCCAAAGTTGTAGTTCCTGTAGTGGTTGTATTAGTTGAAGCTGTAGTAGTAGAACTAGCTGGATTCCCAAGATTAAGACTGGTAAAATCAATCGAAGGAATTGCTGCAGTAGTTGTACTTGTAGTAGTGGCAGGGGTTTGTGGAGTTGTAGTTGTCGCGTCATTTCCTGTAGTTGTCGTTGGAGCTGTAGTACTTGCTGGTTTATCAAAATTCAGATTTACAAAACTGAAATCGCCAATTGTTGTTGTGTCTTTACTTGCAGTAGCTGCAGGGTGTTGTGTAGTAGTCGTAGTAGTCGTTGATGTTCCGGCATTTGGTGTTGTTGTAGCATCCCCAACAGTTGATGTCGATGTTCCCGTTGTTGTTGGGGTTGTTAAAGTCGTTGTATTTGCTGGTGTAGAATTCGCAGAATCCGCCAAATTGGTTTTATTGAAGTCGAACCCTGCAAACGGTTGTGTAGTAGTAGCTGGTGTTGTTGAAGTTCCAAGTGTCAATCCATTAATAGGATTTGCTGCTGGAGTCGTAGTAGTTGGATTCGAACTATTTGCTGTAGTTGTAGTAGTAGTAGCTGCTGGGGTTGAAGTTGCCGAAGTACCAAGCGGATTTGTAATATTTTGTGTGCCTGTTGTATTTTGTAAGTTAATTGTTGTATTCTGGGTAGTCCCGCTTTGGCCGTTATTTGGTTGTTGAGATGGTGTAGAAGTTGTTGCCATTGGATTTGTGAAGTTAAGATTACCCAAGAGTGTATTTCCGGTAGGTTGAGTTGATTGTTGTGGTTGTTGAGTATTTGTAGTAGTTTGTGTTTGAAGAGGTGTAGTATTTAAAGTAGGCATTGTAGTATTAAGAGTAGTTGTTTGAGCCGTTGGTTGTTGAGTGTTAGTTTGCAGCACATTATTTTGGAACAACGAATTTGTTTGTTGTTGTTGTTGTTGAGGCTGCTGTTGCTGCTGTTGTGGTTGTTGTTGGGTATTCATGAAATTTTGTTGCATTGGTTGCTGTTGTTGTTGAGTATTAGCCATTGGTTGTTGAGTACCAAAGAGACTATTTGCAGTGAATTGGAATTGTTGTTGTGGTTGACCTTGGGTATTCATGAAATTTTGTTGTTGCATTGGTTGTTGTTGTTGAGTATTCATAACGTTCTGTTGAGTTCCCATTGGATTTTGGAACCCCTGCATTTGCATATTTGGTTGTTGTTGCATTTGTTGTCCTTGAGTATTAGCCAAGCCTTGTTGATTACCGAAAAGGCTATTCGCAGTGAATTGGAATTGTTGTTGTGGTTGTTGTTGGGTATTCATGAAATTTTGTTGTTGACCTTGCTGTTGACCTTGGGTATTCATTTGGTTTTGTTGGCCTCCCATTTGATTTTGGAAACCCTGAAATGCGGTGGGTTGTGTCTGTTGGCCATTAACATTAGTTCCTTGTTGTTGATTAAAGAACGAACCCATCCCAGCAAAGTTGTTCTGAGGTTGTTGTTGGAACTGTTGAGGTTGTTGAGGTTGTCCTTGGAAGAAGTTCATTGCTTGAGTTCCTTGACCCTGTTGGGTATTTTGGAACATATTTGGCTGTGTCATAGTGTTTACGTTTTGGGTATTAAACTGTTGTGTTTGTTGTGGTTGTTGAAAAAAGTTTTGTTGTTGGGGTTGAGTAAAAGCACTTAACATGGATTTGGGGTTTAATATTTTGAGTTGGTTTTTTCTAGTAAACCCAGTTTTGTGAATTATTTCTCACTTTTTTATTTTTCTGTGAAGAAAGACAAATTCATTGTTTGATGCTTCAAATAATACTTTTTACTAAATATATAGTTTAATTTTACTATTTATATAACAATTGTTTTGTAATTTTCTCAGTTTATTTTTAAAAGTTTTTTGGTTTTTTAATTTTAAAAAATAGTATAGTACTTTATTAATTAACTTCTATAAAAAACAATTATAGTAATTTAAATCTATAAACTAGATTAAATTGTATTAAATGTATTTAATTTAATAAATTATCATCAACTCTATTTTATTAATTTTTTTCATATAAAATGTAGTTTATAAAAGTATGAAGGAAAATAATAGTTGTTATAACTATAAAGTATAGTAAATCCGAACCCTGAAATAAATTCACGACATCACTTACTTCTTAGCGACCTTTCTGCCTGCGACCTTCTTTCCCTTAGCGCCCTTCTTTGGGACTGGAGCAGTTCTCTTGAACTTGTGCTGAGTAGTTTCCTTCTTCTCACCTTCGACTTCAGCCTTCTCTTCCTTTTTAGCGACTGGCTTGTTCTGGTTGAGTTGTTTTGGTTCTTTAGTGGATTTGTTGAACTTTCCGAGTTTGGCCAATTTGAGCTTTCTAATTCTCTCATTGACGGCCTTGATCAAAGGCTTCTTAATTCCTTGGTCGAGTGGTAAGTTGACCAACGTCTCAGTTCCTTTACCAATGATGAAGACGTTAGCAAGTCTAGTGGTGAAGATGGTACCATTGGCGTCCTTAATGTGGACAATTTCAAAGCTTCCTGGGTGGACTTCTCTCTTGACGACGACACCGATTCTTCCCATAGAGTTTCCTCCAATCAACATGGCTGTGTTTCCGACGTCGAACTTGACGAAATCGACGATCTTGTTGTTGACCAAATCAAGCTTGATGGTATCATTGGCTTGAATTTCTGGGTGTGGGTATCTAATGGTTCTTCCGTCGTGTGTGATGATGTATGGGATACCAAAAGTGCCGAGAGTTCTCTTCTCGACTTTGCACAACTTGATGGTGGATTGTTCTTTAGACAATGGGACAAGGCAGAATCTTCTCTTGGTGTTGTAGAGAAGTCTGAAGTACTCTTTGGTTCTTGGGATAGACAAGACGTCCATGAATCCAACAGGGAATCTTGAGTCAGTTCTCACCTTCCCGTCAATTTTCACGTTTCTGTTCTTCAAGATCATTTGGACTTCTCTTGCATTCAAAGCATAGTGCAATCTGTTTCTCATGATCAAGATCAATGGAAGGCACTCCTTCATCCCGTGAGGTCCTCCAGATGGTTTTGGTGCAAATGTGCCTCCCAACTTGGACAACATCCAGTGGTGTGGTGCATTAAGTCTTTTCAAGTGATGACGATCTCCACGAGCCATAGAGTGATTTCGCAAGTGGTCCACTTTACAGTTCAACCCTAAATATTCTTTCTTGTAACTATTGACTTCTTTTTATTATTAATTTACTATCATTTTTAGTTTTAATGATTACTATACGACGCATTATCAACGTGATATGCCGGGACTTTTATATGTATTGTATATAGTAATAAATATAATATTTTTATTAATATTAATTAATTCATAAAATATAATTGTATAGTTTATTTTATAATAAATATATTAGATTTAAAACTATAAAGAAGTTCAATAGAAATTGGAACATAAACATTAGACCCAATTAACAGGTACGATCTGCTTCTCAATCAAGTATCGCCTGACCTTCTCAACTTGTTTATTACAATTTTTAGCTTTATTAAGTACCGCTTGTCTTAATAAAGTTGCCATTTGTTTGATTTTCTGTTTAACTATATTACCTCCAAGTGTGTTCAATGCACTTTTAGCTTTGTCGTAGTCATACGACTTCTGTCCGCCAATAAAGTCGTCGTCATCAAAGTCATCGTCAAACTCAAAATCGTAGAAATCATCAAAATCATCGAGAAAGTCATCATACTCATCAATGTCAATATCGTCAATATCGTCGTAACATCCCACACCACTCACATTTCTCAACATCACAAAAAGCACACCAACTATCCAACACAACATTATAAGTTGGTAGTTTGACTTCTGGTGTTATAATTTACTATAAATTTAATTAATTATTTAATTATATTTAAACTATTAGTTATTAATTTACAATATTTTGATTGGAATAAAATGTTTCTATTTTTTAGTAAACTTTTTAAACAAACATTTTAGTACATTTGTAATTTCTCAAATGTTTGGAAATCTGAAAGGTTATCTTTTGTTATTCAAATGTTATTCAAAATATAATTAACACATTTTATTTTAATATAATAATATTATATAACGAATAAATATACGTTTCAAAATAACTATATTAAATAGTATTACAAATATATTTAATAGGAAATTATGTACTCGTTAAATAAAAACAATTGAATAAAATAACCTCGTTAATTAAAAACTATTTAATTGTCTGATTATTTGAGCTAAAAGAAGGATTTTTGTGTGTTAACTAAAAAATGTAAAGAATGAACCATTAAATTTTATATCCTGTTTTAAAAAAGAAAGTCTTAACCACATCTTTACCACAATGACTAAAATGCAGAAAAATGAGAAAAATAAAAAAATCAATACAAATGACTTCCATTTTTTCATACAACAAACAAATTTCGGCAAAATGTGGTAACCAGTAACACTGAGAAAGTCTGCACTTTTTAACACCAAAACGAACTGTAAGTCGGAAAAACACAGAAATTCAACAATCCTTGATGACTAACAGACACGTCTCGTTAACACCAGGTCTGCGGATGAGTATAACACAAAAATTAAGTGTTGAGGATCAACAAACAAAAGCATTTGCGTCATACATCAATTACACATTGGGGTACCAAGAACCTCTTGTGAATAGTCTGTGCCCAGATTTGGAAGACGGAACTATTTTAATGCGTTTCGTCGAACAAATCACAACTAACTTTTACCCAAAACCTCACGTTGTTAAAACCCCCTTCGACAAGTTGCAAAACTTGAACTGCGTCTTCGACTATTTGAAGGACGAGAAACTTAATTTAACTTCAAGCGCTGAAGACATTTTGAACGGAAATAAAAAGTCAACTCTTGCACTCATTTTCCAATTGATATTGAGATACCGCTTGTTCAGTTTGTTACTTTTTACTTGGGTTACAATTAGACAAGTTAGGCTCAAATCAAATAGTTTGCCATATTATAAATGGTTTTGGCAAATGGTTTCAAAACTAATATAAATAGTATATATAACATAATTTAGTATTATTGAAATTTTTCTATTAAAAAGTTTTAGATTATTATATTATTATATTATTATATTATTATTATATTATTATATTATTATATTATTATATTATTTAAACTATATTTTACCATTTACTCAATTTTGTCGTTTGAGTCTAATTTGTAATACTATAAGTTTATTGACACAGAGACATCAAGTTCAAAATGACTGATTTCAGTCACTGGATTTACTCGTTAGTAAAAGACGAGAAAGAGTGTTTTGATGTGAAGTTCTGTTTGTCGAATCCAACAAATTGGAAAACGTTAATGAACTCCATACAAGCAGATACAATTACTGATGAGGATTTACATGTGAGTGAAGACCCAATTGAGCAGATGGCGCAATGCTTTAAAAAGGCAAAAGACGTGTTGGGCTTCCCCAATTTGTTAGACCCCAAAGAGACTGCAAATGGCTCAGTTGATGACTTCTGTTTGTTTATGATAGGATTATTAAAAATTATTAATATAATATAACCATAATAGAAATATAATATAACTATAATATTATAATATTAAAATAAAACTATATAAATAGTTTAATAAATAATAACAAGAAGGTCTCTATCTTTACTTGACTTATTTTGTGATTAATGGCAACAACCAAGAAAATGACGAACAACTTGAGTCGTTGAGGAACAACATTGCGCTAAGCAACAAAACAAAACGAGATGAGAAAATTGAGAAAATGAAGAAGGATATATTGGTGTTAGAAGACGAGGAGAAAGAGATTGCGACCACAATTGAACAGCAAAATAGCGATATTGACATTTCTATCTTCTCTGAACAAATTCAAACACTCGGAACGGCGATTTTGAATGAAAGTGGAGACGACAGAGTGACACAACATCAGCACGATAAGATGATGAATGTGATCAAATCAAACGAAGTGCGAATTTCCGACTTGAAGAGGAAGTTGGACCAAATTCGGTTTGATTTGGCGAAGCAAAGTAAAGAGGAGAACGTCGTGTTGTTTCAAAAGAGTTCGAAAGACCTTAAAGAACAACCGACGACGCCGAAGGACAAAGAGAAGTATTCATTGAAAGGGATGGTGAGTGGATTTAAAGACGTGTTTAAGAAAGAGAAGAAAGAAATGAATGACGAAAATGGAAGTGCTGAGTGTGTGGAGTGTCAGAGACTCAAAAAGGAAGTCACCAAACTGAAAGAAGAAATTGTGAAGACGCGAGCCGAGTCGAAAAAGATGGTCCAACAGACAACACAACAACTGAATGAGTGTCGGACCGCCACGTTTGAATTAAATGAAGTGAAAAATGTGAATGAAAAACAGAAGGAGGAACTCGAGAAGATGCGCAAAGAGAAGGAGACGACGAGCAATCAACACGAATTTGTTCTGAAAAGGAAAAGTGACGAAATCGAAGACTTGAAAAGAGCAAATGAAGAGATCAAAAAGGCGAAGGAAAGTCTTACATACCAAATGGCAACGCAATTTGATGCGATGGAAAAGGAGAAGGAAGAAATGCAAAACGCACTCAACACGACAAAAAGCACAGAAGAAGAAATGAAGAGCAAATACGAAGGTACTGTGAACGAGTTGAATGCGAAAATAGAAGAAATGACTTCACAAGTTGAGAAGAGTCAAAATCAGTGCAAAGAACTTTCTCAACAACTTGAAGAGAAAATGAAGAACTTTCAAAATGAGCAAAATGAAAAACTCCAAAGCGACGAAGTGTATAAGAAAGAAGTCCAAAACCTTCAAAACCAAATTTCTGTGTTGAACAAAACCATCGAAGGGTTACAAGAAGAGAACATTCAAATGAATGCAAGGGAAATGGAAATAACAGATTTGAAAAGTAAAAGGATGGAAGACGAGAAGATGCTGAAAGAAAAGGACGTGGAAACACAACAACTTTACACACAGCTTTTGAGTGTTCAAAATGAGTTGGAAGAAGTGAAGAAAAGTCGAGTGCAGACCACAGAAAATGCCACACAACAACTCGAAGAATTGCAGAGAGAAAATTTAGAATTGAAAATGTCAGAAGAACAACTGAAAGAGTCATTGGAGTCATTACAAACACAACTGAACAAGTCGCGAAATGAAGAGGAAGAAACAAAGGAACATATGACGCAAATTGATAAGGAGAAGATGGAGCTGAACGCTTTAAGGGAAAAGCAAGAAGTTGATATTAACTCGAAGCAAACACAAATTGATATATTGAAAGAACAACACGACAAAATGTGTGAAGAACGAGATGACTTGAAACGCGCGAATGAACAACTTCAGAGTGACAAGACTGACTTAAAGAATAAATACGAAGAAGTGTTGAAGCAAAATGAATCGAAACATTTGAATGAATGTGCCACTTTGAAAGGCACAATCGAAACACTTGGAAATGATGTGAAAGAACGACAAACACAAGTTGAAGTACTTTTAAAGGACAACACAAATTTAAAAGGTGAAGTTGAAGAATTAAAGTGCGAGACGAACGACGTGATGAAGGAAAGAGAACGAGAAATGGAAGAAAAGAAAACCCAACTTGAACACATCAAAACAGCAAATGAAGTGCTTCATACACAAATTAAAGAAGAACAAGATAACAACAAGAAACTCACTTCTTTAATCCAAGAGAAAGAAAATGAAAATAAAAAGCTTTCTGATGACTTGGTGAAGCAACAAGTGAAGACGGAAGAGTTTTATCAATCACGAGAAGATGAATTGAAGAAAATGAAAGTCAAAATTGATCAACTCACGACGAACAACACACAACTGTGTGTTACTATTGAATCACAGAAGAATGAAAATGCTCAACTCAAAGAAAGTGTCGAGAAGAACAAAAAGGTGTTTGAAAAGTTGGAAGAAGAAAATAAGAATTTGAGAGACGAGGTGGAGAGTGCGACAACGCAAACCGTCGAGTCGATTAAGAAATCAATGGAAGAAAAGGAACAGCTGATTTCACAAATAGAAGAGACCAAAACCGAGAACGAACGACTGAAAAAGGAAGTGCAAGAACACGTCGATACATCGGAAGAGCTAAGAAAAGAGTTAATCTCCAACACAAATCTTTTGAAAGAGATGAAACAAAATGTTTCTCAGCTGGAAAGAGAGAAGAGTACTTATGAAGGTATCAGAGCAGAGAGAGACGACGCGTTGAGAACGAACTGTCAGATTCAAAGTGATTTTGAAGAGGAAAGAAAGAGACTTTCTCTACAACTTGAAGACAAAGAGTCTGCAAATTTGGAGATGCGAAAGGCGAATGAGAGTTACAAGCAACAGATTGATGTGATGAGTGTTGATTTAGAGAACAAAAATACGGCAATAACTCAGTTACAAAATACAAATGAAGAACTTTTGCAGTTACAACACCGTCACGAAGAGAGTATTCAAACACTTTCAGATGACAATGAAGCCATTCGGACTGAATTGAATGAGTTGAGAGTCACTCAAAAAGAAATAGAAGAAGCTAAAACGACACAAGACGCAATGAAAAGTGAATGTGAGTTGTTGAAAATGAAAGTTACTGAGTTGACTAAATTGAATGGGGACTTAACAACACTTGTCGAACAAGTCAATGAGAAAAACACCACCACGCTGAAAGAGAAAGAAAAGATGGCGGACGAAATTGTGACATTCAAACAGATCAACGACGAGAAAGAAGACAAACTCAAAGAAGCGTACAAAAGAATTTCAAGTGCAGAGAAGGAGAAAATGGAGGCGAAGATTCGCATTGAGGAACAAGAGAAATTGAATGCAATGAAAGACGGTAACATTCAGAATTTGAAAGGAAGTGTTGCGACACTCACCGACAAAGTCCTGCAAAAAGATGAAGAAATGAAAGTGATGAAAGGGGAGAACGTCCAATTAAGAACTGAAAAGGAAGAAGTCATTGACAAATTCACACAACGCGAATTCGATTTGAAGGAACACATTGAAAGGAAGAACAATGACTTCAACACGTTACAAAAGACGTTTGAAATACATCAAAATGAATGTGCAAAAGAGAAGGAACACCTTCAAGAGGAGGTCGATGAAGGAATACGCCGACTCGAAGAGAGTCAACGCCGCGAGAGTGAGTTGAAAGCGAGTGTATTGAAGTGTCGCGAAGACTCTATACAACAAAGAGAGAGTGTAAATACTTTACTTCACAAAGTTGAGAGCTTTGAACACGAGAAACATGCACTTGAGGAGAAGACACTTGAATTACAGAAACACATTGAAGCACTTCTGAAGGAAAAGGAAGAGAATGACCCCGTCCAAGGCGAGCCACAGAATGAAGATCACACACACGAGAAGACAAAGAATGTGAGAAATGAATGTATGAAGGCCTTTATTGTCGACGATGTAACAGAAAGGAAAACTCTCTTCAATTGTTTAGCGCTTTCCATCACGGTATTGGCTAAGAAGAAATTAACAACAGGAACAATAGAACGACTCTTTAGAGACGCTGAAAAGTACGAAATACCTGTAGGGAAGTATGTGAGTTACATCACGTCGAATTTAGTAAAATAATTGAGAACATTTGTTAATGACTTGTACAATGAGAACTACACAATTGACAATTATAACTGCTGTTTGGGGACTTTAATTGCGATCAGCGTGAGGTTGTCACTACTGTCATTTAAATACGCCATTTTTAACGTGTCGAAGGACAAGTTAAACAACCCGCCACTCTTCTTCACCATCTCGCCAAGTTCTTTTTCAGTAACGACATCAGTGATCCCATCACTCATCACTAACAACCAATCGACTTCACTTCTCTTTAAAGAAACAATTTCAGGCTCTGTAGAAAGTGGCGGGTGCAATTCCTTGTCGCCGATACTTCGTGTGATCATGATTTGTCCATTAACCCGTTTAGTCCCTAATACTGAGAGAATGACTCCTCCATTATTTTGAATGCGTTTTGCTTCGTCACTATTTGTTGCTTTGTGATCTTTAGTCACCTTCTTAAGTGTATTGTTCCGTACTACAAAGGCTGGAGAGTCACCAACAAAAGCAACACGAATGGTCTCTTTATCAACAAAAACAACAGTCGCTGTTGTCCCCGAGTTTGAGTCTTTTGCAGTCTCCGTGTGGAGCTGCGCTGTTGTCTGTTTGACACGGTCTTCAAAGTCCCCCTTCTTCTCTAGATAGACAGGAACAAAGCGATCACTACAATAATAAGCAGCTTCCTTCCCTCCATGTCCATCAAAGACTCCAATCACATCGGTGCCTTCGACTGATGTACAATCAACAACTACTGTGTCTTCCATTTGTGCACGACGACCAACAGACTGCGAGACAGCTATTTCAAGTGTCTTAGAAGGTTCTATGTGGTTCAACACAAACTCTTGAAACTCAAAGCCAGGGTCACCATATTTCGAAACACCTAACTCATTCACTTTTATCACATCCTCACTCTCGGGATTCAATATGTAACAAAACGTCATCGCAGGAAGATCTGCAGGATTGTGGGCACCAAACCCTTTGGAGAGATTTTTGCCTAAATACTGACTCATCACTTCACTGTCAAATACTATTTTGTCTTCGACTTCCCCATTGTCATACTCATCATAATCTTTATAATACGGGATATTGTTCTCGCCCATTATACCTCTTTTTTAAGTTCATTCCATTTTCTTTGTTATTATTTATTAAGTAAAATTATGTTATAGTTTATTGTGGTAATAATTTATTAAATTATTAATTTAATAGTAAATTTTTATAATATATAAATCCATTATAATAAATAAATGGATTTATTATAATTTAGAAAAAAATTGAAAAATATAAAAATCATATATTATAATATAAATTAACTATAATATATATTAATAATGTTATATAGTTGATTAATTAATAATATAGTGATAAATAACAATTGTTATAATTATAATTGATAAATGAATATATTTATTATAATTGGGTTAACTGAAATATAATTTGTAAGTCAACATAATTCAGTTAGCTAACGAGGTATATATAATTAACTAACTAGAGTAAAACCTCCCAAGAGAAAGCATTTTTAGCCAATCAAACCTTAAAAACCTCTCTATAAAGAACTCTATTTTTTGTTTCAGTCTAAAAAATGCCCGCTCTTCAGAGGTTTTACTGAATAAGGTTTTTATGTTAGTTTTCAATTTAATTTCACGAAGTTTTTTAATCTTTTAAATCCGTTAATTATGGTTTTAGTAACTAAGAATTGTTTTTTTATATTAATTAATAATTAACAAAGTATATAATTTTATAATAACTTAAAACTAGTTTAAATGAATTAAACAAACCATAAAATAATAATACATAATTATTATATGTTTTTATGGTATAACAATAATAATATCTAGTTAATATTTATAAAATTGTTTTTAGTTAATTTCAAACCATATTTTTTTTATAAATGAAATTATTTAATTATTTAAATAAATAAAATAAATAAATTTTTAATTATATTTTTCCTTTTTTAACCTATTTTTTTAAAAATGCTTTTTCAGCCAATGAATCAATATATCAATTAAGAATTAACTATAATATATGGTATGCGTCAACAATTATAAGTACAAAGAACAACAAACCAAAATTTGCCAAAAAAATATTTCACTTGGTTTTTGAACTTGAAAATCAAGATCGTCAATGAGTGAAGTGACGAAACGAGAGAACACAAATGGGGAGAAAATTGACGAACAAAATGACCCAAACAGTGAAACTCCTGTAACAGAAGAGCAGAAGAGAACTGTGAAGGTAGTTCAAGCGATTGACCCTAAAAATATAACCATAGAGACTATACCAGCCATTGATCAGTCACTCAAAAAGAAACGGAACATCAAGTTAGTCGACAAAATCACTTTTGTGATGGCGTTTGGTATTATCTTACTCTCGGAGTTTATCATGCTGAGAAGAGCAAACTTGATCCCACTCCTTTATCTCATGTTATTCATTCCATTGGTTGTTGCGAGGTATTTAGTGTATCGGATGTCTAAGTGGCAATTATTCTTATTAGATTTCTGTTACTTTGCAAATGCTGGGATGTTATTATTACTCTTTTTGATATACCTCTTTGGCATAGTCGGCCCACTCTTTGAAATCATCTTCATTAATATGACGGGTCCATTGTTACTTGCCATTATCATATGGAAGAATTCGTTTGTTTTCCACGACTTGACAAAACTGACATCCATCGTGTTGCACTTCTTCCCAAATCTGGTTTTGTACTATTTGAGATGGAAATCCAATTTCAATATTCCAACAAAACTCACATTCTTGACTGGATTCGTCTATCCCATCTCATTCTACATTTTGTGGCAAGCACTCTATTTGCTGATCACAGAAGTAATTCTCAGACACAAAATTTATAAGGGAGGGTACATGACATCTATTAGGTGGCTGTGCGAGGAGAAGCCACATATGCTTTACAGATTCGTCACACAGACTCTCGGGTGGTGGAAAGACTCGAAGTTGAAAACTATGGTGTACACACAATTCATATACACGTTGGTCGCATACATACCAGCGTATGTATGTTTCTATTCGAAGACCGCACACAGAACTTTTATGATATTCACAATCTTGTGGGCTGCTTACAACGGCGCCAATTTTTATTTGGAAATCTTTGCCAAGAAGTACGACCAATACCTCGAAAGATTCTCAATGGAGAAAGACAAGGACAGTCCTAAGTGAGGTTCTGCCGATTGTCGATATACGTGAAGCACGCGATAACTACTTGTTTCATTAAACAGTAATTAATCTTTTGAAAACTATTATTTGATGAAGATCTTTACATCACAATTTTCTAAAAGGGTGTTGAACTTTTATTATCGCACTGCTTTTTAGTTCAAAAAACTTTCAAAGAAGTCCCAAGTTAAGAAATTTGATTAACAATTTCGTTTGTAATTCGGGATTGATCGTTTTTTGCTGCAATTAATATAATAGCTCATTTTTTAAATAAAGATTTACTCGATTAATTTAATATCTCGAAGTGGATATTTATTAATAGTAATTAATAAATTCTTTTATTATTATAGTAATAATAATTAGTATCATGTGACTAGTTTCTGTTTAAGTTAGTTAAGGTTTTTATAGTCAAACGATAATAAACTACAACAAGTGCAAATTTTCAACAGAACAATTCCAACACTCAAACTATGGATTCTAACCAACTTAAATCATTTTCATACAGTTTCGTGTTCTGAAAACTCGGTATCTTTTAAAGATTGAAATGAGGCATTCACTTATATAATATTTGTTAATGATTGAAGTTATAATAATAAATTATTAAGTATTACTACTTAATTAGTATTTATAGTATAAATTTTTAAAGGTTTTTTTTGTCTTTTTACATTTTAATTTATGATCAAGAACTTATTGTTAATAAGCTTGCTTTTGCAAAGTTCAGTCCAATTTTATTTAATAATAAAAGTAAAATTGTGAGTTTATTGTTGTGGACTAAAGACAAATATATACAAAATACATTGAGTGGCTGAGAAGAAAAGGTAGTTTTTATATTTTATTTTTATTTAAAAAAATGAATAAAAACACTCAAATTTGTATGATTTTATTCGTTTTTTAAATCAAAAAGTTATATTAAAGCATTTAGAACGAAACATATTTAAATAGGTGGGTTTTGAGCAGACTGCGAGAATTGTTAATATTTTTAAATTGGTCTGTTCTAAATTTATAAAAAGCAAATAATAAATATTGGCAACATATATTTTTTTTAAAAGTATTTTGATATTAATGTCTAAAATTTGAAAGAATTACATGTCGGTTTAACAAAAAATGACAAATATTGAATAACAAATGGTGATATGATGGTTGTTAAATAACTGTTGAAATTAACAACCATTTTTCAAAGACCCAATCATTACAGTGGTGGTTGGACTATTTGGCAAAGTCCAACTACCGTATTTTATATTTAAAAACATTGTTTGTTTCTTTGTAAGTGTTAATTTTTTCTTGTTATTTAGTATTTTAAACAAAATTGTAAGTGAGACTTACTCCACAATATTTTAATATTTCTAAATGTAATAGACGATAATATTTATGACTTTATAATTATTATCATTGATTGTGTTTATTTTGACTAATTATTAAGCTTTCTTGAAATAACTACACGTTTAAATATCTTCATCTTTTTTTAATTTGGTCCCATTTTCTTAAGATGAAATGATTGGCAATTTTTGTTTTAAATAAAATTATCACTCATAAAAAACAATTGTTAATTTTTTTTAAAATAATAGTTTTAGACCACACACGCTCCATTATTCGAATTGACAAATAATATAAACGATATAACCATGTTCCACAACAAATCGTTGTAAAACATGTTAATAATAAAAGGCATTCAAGAATTATCATAAAACAATTAAATTCCATTTAGTATTTATCAATGTATACAATAGAAAAACAATTTTAAATAAGTAAATGCAATTGAAAAGCATTAACTTCTTTATTAGCTTTTATCAATTTTTAACTTAATAAATTGTTTCTATAAATTTATTTATGTTTTGTTTTCGTATAAATAATTCCATATAGATAACAGAAAACTTTTTTATGGTAATAATAGATTAGACAAAAATTAAGAAAAATTAGAGTTTTTAAAAAACCCAAAAGTGAATTACATCTTTCACTTAAATTAAAAGTTCAAATTTTTTGTTACAACAATACCATAGAAAATTTGTTAAACATCATTTTTGGTATTGAAAGTCCATCGAAAATATTTTTTTTTAAAAATGGAGGTTATTGATAAAAAAAATAGAACAACTTTTTTTATAAGATACGTTAGATCCCAACCAATACCTTTATAATTTATTTTAATAACCACTAATTTTACGTGAATTAACAAGGAAGTGGTGGGACAATTTGGGAGAAAACAACTTTAACACATAACCCATTTTCATTTGATTTGTTTTCATCATTTTTGTTGGGTCTGGTTAAAAAGTGTTCGCGGTTAATGTTTTCAAAAATAGAAAGAGTGGAGCGAATCGTCTTTTGGACGAAAACAGAAATTTTGCACGAGAGATGGAAAAAAACAATAAAATGGTTTTTATTCGCCGTCTTTTCTGCTCTAATTATAGTTCTCGACTCGTTTTAACAACTTTATGGGGAAGTTGTCTGTCAATACCAACCCTTATAAATTGTAGGAATGAACTTTTTTTTCAAAATGGATAAGAGCGACCAAAAGCCAACGATGACAGAAATGAAAAGGGAGTCCAAGAGTTTTGAAGCAATTCAACAAGGGATGGTCTTTGCAGTTCTCAGTGCTTTTGGCTATTCATTCCAAATTAAAAGACCTGAGAGGATGGCCGAGAAGACTTTTCAGTATTTAACAATAATGGAAGTCTTCAAGGACGAAGTTGCACTTGATTTTGGTTGTACAATAGACGACTTTTGTCAAAGACAATACGAGACTGAATTTGATCCCAATATGTCCAAAGGAACACTAAAAATAGTGAAAAGGAGAAAAGATTTGAATAGGACGGCATTATCCTTTTCTTGGATGTTACAATATTGTCAACAAAGTGGGATTGATGTCGAGAAGAGAAGGACAAAACAAGCGAGAAAAACTCTTCAATTAGAGAAGATCGTTTCTATCACACTGCCACAGTCACTTGTATTCTTCGATAAAGTAAAAATTGAAACTATGGGAACGATAGTGCACAAACACATCTGCTCTTTGTTTAACAAGAGAGAGAAGAATATCACTATACCACAGAACTACCCATTTTTTGTGGAATTGTTGAATACAAATTCCACAACACGAGCGCTTCAAGTAGACGCCGACAAACTCAGTGAAAATACAATTTCTTCTGTTCAGGAATCATCAAGCTTGGGACATACCACTTCTCTCCAAAAAGCAAATAAAGTAGTTGAACCAACACGTTTTGTGGCAGACAAACAAGTGCCACAAATGGTTACCCAACCACCACAAATGGTAATAAGCGACGTTTACACCCCAAGAACAAATCAATTTGAGTCAATACAAACTGTTGCACAAACACCAAGAATTCAACACTTTGCTCCAGTGAATGTAGAAATCCAAAATAATCAAGTGAATGCTTTTGGATATGAAACTGTATATTCACCACCAGAAGCGTATAATGCGGATCCGAATTTTGTTGGGATTGGTATAAGTTCAGAGGACCTGAACAACATCAAAGAAATGAATTTGATGATGGGGTGCTATGAACAACCAATGACTATGAAGAGTACTATCCCTTCAAACCAAATGTATCTGAGAAGATTCGCCGATCAATACCAACCGGTACAAAGTGGTGTATTTTGTCCTGTTTTAATGCCAAATATTGAGTGTGGATACTTTTAAATTGTTTATTGTATTGTTGTGTTATTGTTGTTATTTTTTTACCAAATACATAAAGAAAAATGTATATGTTAACCTTAGGAAGGAGGAACTGGCGCCTTTGTCTCGGCTCAGTACATGAATTATTGTTATCTACCATTCCATCACACCCTTTCTAAAAATAAACTAAACAATCACTTAAATAGAGCACTTAACAATCCAAAATTTCGTATTTTTTTCTTCTAAAAAACACTTTTTTGACCAAAAAATTTGTTTACACATCAGAATACTTTTTATTATTGCCGAAAGTGTTAAATTATTCAGTGAAAAACAGCCTCTTTCAATCTAAATTAATAGGAAATGATAGTAATAATTTCCTTAATCGCAAAACATTAACAAATATCAAACCTTTTTTCTTTGAAAATCGGGATTATTTTTGAATTATAATATAAGGGCTTCCTCTTATTTTTCTCCCTTATATCGAATAAAACCTTATATCTAATAACCCTTATATCGAATAATGACTGTATCATTTTTCTCTACATAAACAGAATACTTTAATAATTTATTAGGATAATCTCATGTTAAAAAAACTAAAAATCGGGCAATTTAAAAAAACAAAACATCATCGATTGTTGTAGAAGATTCTTTTTTAAATCCATAAGAAACTTTAAAACCCTGTTTTACAGAAACAATGTTAAAATTAAAAGAATAAACCAATAAATGCACCAAGAATTCAATTATGCGTTTCTAATTTAATTTGTTATTGGATTGCATGGCTCGGAGCAGTCTTCTCCTTCAACCATCTCTTCTCCTTCGGGACTCTCTGTTCCCGATTCGTCATGTGGAAAACAATCCAGTAAGTTTCCTGGCTCAAAGGAAGCTCTCCCATGACTCAAGTAAGTCATCAGGTCTTTCATACTAGAGATTGTGACATCCCTAATTATTTTAGGTAAGTCCAATCTGATCTTCAACAGCTTCTCTATCCTTTCCACAGAGAGCTTGTTTATCAGTCCGCTGATCGTTATGACCACTATAACAGTGGTCACACTTCGCAGATTTCTTGCACCTCGAAGCTTCTCGCAAAGCGTGTTATATTTTGACACTTTTCGGAAGTAAGCAGTGGCGAGGTTTTCATCTTTTACAATTGTGACATCAATCACATAACCCTTTTTTGCTTTATTGTCTTGCCAATAAATGTCGGGTCTTCGAGCAAAGCTTTGCCTATCATCACAGAGCAGATTTCTTTCGGCAATGGAATAAACCAATAAATGAATAAGATAAATACAGAAGACGAAATAAGGGGCTTAATTTTAAACTGCTTATTAATTTAAGCACGCTTAGACAAATTTTAAAGGAGAAGCAAAAATGAAAAACTATTTTGAAACCGGAAATTTCACCCCCTAGGCCTGGACGGGGGAGTTTTCCACTAGAAATTTTTGTGGAATAGAAGAATGATCGAAACGTTCTTTGATGATTTGTTTTGCTTATTTAATCCCTGATATTACGGGGAAACAATTGATAATGTTTGAAAAACACGTTTTTAATATAAACAGATCTAAAAAATGTTTATTTAATATTTTTGTTAAAATTGATATTTAAATAAAGTTATAATATATAGTTGTATAATAGTTGTTTTGTTATATTAAAAAATTATCTTTATATAAATGTTAGGTGAATAAACTTATATTAACGTGATACCAATAACATTATATTAATATAAAAAGTGTTAATAATAACAATTAAATACAAAATGTTTTTATAATTAATACAAAAAAATATTTATTAAGTTTATTTTTTTACAATTATGTTTTATTTGTAAACTATCTACATAGTATATCGATTCTAGTAGTTGTTTAAATTGTTTTTAATTAATTCTAATAACTAATTATAATAATATTTATTTAATTTAGCAATTTAAAGAAATTTAAATACAAATTATATATATTACATTCAAAAACAATTTGAACTTAACTTACCACAACAACAATTCAATTACAAACATAAAAAATAATTATCTTATTATTTAATTGAACATAATAAAATAAAAATTATGGGAATTTATTTATTATAAACACTTTTAATAATATTTGTAATTAGAAATGATAGCTTCCATTATTGAATTAAATCATTATTAAAACAACAACAATAAATAAAATATCAATTGTTAAATATCTTTTTTCAGTAGTAACTCATAAAAATAAATAAATGTCAACGCAACCAAGTAACTCCAATGTATCTTTAAATGATGATCCCCAGGCTGATATGTTTAAGTTGAGTATGACATTTAAACAAGTTTTGAAGTGGTTTTCAACTCGAGATAGAGACTTAAAGCGTCTTTATTATTCCCCTTTTGTGACGAATTTTATGGTGATAAATACAAAAAACACCTTAATTTTCACATTGATAAAGTGAGAGTCAATTATCACAGAGAATTAAACCAAAATTTACTTGTCCCATTTTTAATGCACATATAAAACACTTGATTATTTTGCTGTTAATTCTATCATTACAATTGAAAACGCTTATGCTCCCATTCTTGTTGGACTACACTACAAAAAACTACAAAAAGCTTTGAACAAATGTATTATCACAAGAACAACTTTACAAATATCAATTGATCAATTAAATGAAGAAGCCATATTAATTGATCCAAGTATTTCTATAAAACCACACATTTGTTATAATTTTGTTGTTTTTGACTTGGAAACAAAGAAAGTGTCAACTATGCAATTTAAGAAAAAAGTAAGTGCTTATTTTTCCCATGTTCGAAAAATAGAACACAAACAAGGATTATCATACAAACGATAGTTGACAATATGATAATTAGTTTTCAATTGTATAACATCAAGAGCTGTTTATTGAACATTATTGATATTACATTCAACATAATCAATAACGTTTATTAAAAAATAAAAATAAAAGTGCTTTTTTCATCCCTTTCATTTTTCGAGTATAATAAGAAATGTAATTGAATATTTACATTTTTGTTAAATTCATGTACTACTCTTTATTACAAACAACATTTGTATAGAAAGTAAACTATACACATACATGAGTATCAAAGTTATGGTCACATAAAAAACATGAAAACAAAAAGTCGATTGTAACTTAAAGAAACGGGAAATCACCCAATTAGTATAAAAAATATTGCGTTTAAATGTTGGGGCATAATAAAGACAGCTTTTCAAAACACTTCAAATTAAAATTATTAATAAAATTAACCATAATTTATAATAAAATTGATAAATACATCTGGGTTTAAAAATCAATAATCATGTCCAAACTACATCGGAAACTCGCTTCAAAAATGGATTTGAGAGTGTTGAGCAACAACACAAAATAAAGTTGTGCCCGTGATTTATTCGATTTTTGTGAAATGCATGCAACAGAAATCATGAAATGCCAAACACTTCAACAAATGAAATTGTTGAGAAGTGAAAAACTGCTTGAAAAGGTTTCAATTGAAACGAAGGTAATGGTATTTCGATACAAGAAAAAGATTTTCAAATTGATAGCTTTAAAGAGTATTTAGATTTATACAAAGCAAAGACCCCACAAGAAATGTGAATGAAAATTGAGGCATGCATCATTCACAATGAGCTTCACGACAATTTGTTTAACGAAGAGTTGTTGAAAGAAATTATACAAGTCAAACAGTGGAAAGATCACAATATCAATTTGTTTACTCATTTAAGAGATTTGCAAAATACACAAGAGTATGTATCTTCAAATATTAAAACCACTGATGATATAAGAAAATTTTAGCAGAGAATCGAAACACCACTGGTCGCTTTATTAAACATTGGATATTTGACTGGAATTTTGCTGAAAGTGAGTCGTTTAATGACATTAATAACGACCAAATGCAAATCCTCAAGCAGTGTTACAACTTCTGAGCATGGAGAGAAGACTACCTCAATAATTTTCTTGTTGTCTGTCCCGAAGTGTTATTGACAACACAAAATGTTCTAGATATTATGCCCAAAAAATTATGTTGTGAATTTTGTTTAATTAATTCAATTATCAGTGAATACAACTTGATTGCTGTTACAACATGTTTGGTTGAAAAATCTTATTCGATTCTTAAAAGAGTGAAAATGTGAATATGACAATGAAAGAGGATGAAGTCAGAATGTTTACAGTCAACAATTTTTGTTATATGTAAAAATCGTTATCAGTATTATTATTATTTAACTATTATTTATTTGTATTTTTATTAACAATTAAACTACAATCATGCGAAAAAGCTGTCGCGTTTGGAAAAACCTGTCTTGAAAAAATATATTATAGTAAATTTATAATTACTTACTATACAGTATAGCTT